ACAGCTTAGAAAAGTTCTCTTCTCAGCTTTTGTATAATCAATGAATATATAGATGTTATAACTAAGAAATACCCAGGAAAGTTAGATAACTTTTTAACGCAACAGGAGGATAATAAATGGAAAGTGCTTACTGATGTTGTAGGCTTGTAATATTCTCCACAAGCAGCCACCTCCAGAAGAGATCCTTCCTCAGTGGCAGTCAGCACTTAAATGGGTCTGGGAGAGGTAGAGCCAGGCTCCATCCCTTCCGGTAGCACAGCTGAATTGCCTTCACCTGTGCTCCTGTGGCTGACTCATGGCTTGCCTCAGGTGGTCAATCAGAGGCTCAAGCTGTGATTCCACAGTTCCCATACAGCCTTATATTGATATGACTAAAAAGCACGTTATGAAGTACAGCTCTGCTGCAACACACGTAATCTGAATGAAGTTTTATAAACAAAGGACCACAGAATATGAAGAGCATTGAACACATCCTTAAGGACAACAGAATTCAACTGCGTGACAAATGAGGGTGTTACAAAGATAATAAAAAATCCAAACGCCATTGTCTTCTTAAATTCAAGCACCAACATACCTGAGTATATCACACATAATGGATTCTTAGAGTTAGGTGTAGGGGAAATTTTGTTAAAAATTTTGAGACTAAAATAATCAAAGGACAGATACATTTCAGCTCCATACGAGAAGGTCATGGTATTTGGAAAGAGCGTGGCCATAAGCCAATAAATTAAGGCCTGACAAAGTAGCTAGGCTATTCCCTTTTGGCACGTACTTATAAGATCTGTCCTCAAGTGACATTTTCACCATACAGCTTACATATCTTTTGCAATTAGCCAAGGCCATTGTTAACTTTAAACTGCATGTAAAATATGACACACTAATTAAATTTCTCTTTTCCTCAGGTTTGAATTAGATTACTGTTTATTTATGTATACATTTTTTAATCTTACTGTACATTTATGGACTGCCTCAGGCACACAGTGAGTTTGCATGATCTTTTTGTAAACCTCATCACAAAATACAAACACACAAAAACTCTATTTGTACCACATCGTATGAGGTATCACCACACTTCTACAAGCGATGCACAGTTTGAAAAATAGGTTTGCTTTCAGTTTAAAGGGATTTCTCTCCCAACAATTCTATCAGGGCAGAGGAGAAAGAAGTTCCAAAACAAAAGAGTTCTGCAGTATTCTCAATATATTATTTTTAGTATGATTAGTCTCAGTTCTGAGCATTCAGGACGTTTTTAAGGAAGGTGGGGGGAATGCTTCCTGTATGAAAATTTGAAAATGCTATCATGATTATTTCTCCACTTCACTGAACAGGTTTCATTTGCATTCAGCCAAGCTTCAGAAATTCTAAGAGAAAGGTAAAAGTCAAACATCCATTAATAAATACCTTAAACTTTGACAGAGAAGTTGGCATGATTGTATTGGAAGATATGTATGAATAGATGGAAATTTAAGTACGCTCTCTAAGAATAAGGTCAATGACGAAGGAGCCCAGAGTTCCCATCTTCCCTTGCATCCATTTCCAAGGGAAGCCAAATTTAGAAGGAATGCTCGCCCTTTAACTGAAGCTGACAGAACAAGTCTGCACCCTCAGGAAAGAGCACAACATATCTGACCCTTTAAGTGTGCAACACTAAGAGTATTTCACAACCAGAATCTACAGCCGAGTTTTGGAATGACTGGGCTCTCTTCAGATTTTGTTAATGTTTGCAACTAAATTTGCTTACTATCTATCAAAGTAAAAATATAATATCTAAAAGTAAAAATATAATTCTATAATTCTATAGCCCATCTCTCCAAAAACATATATACTCTTCCTATGCAACTGTGTGTCTGAGTAACTTGTCTTTTGTTTTTCAATACAATCCTCGGGCACTCTGGGGAGATGAGAACTTTTGCACTTTTGACTCCTCAGGGCATCAACCTGTAGAGTATTTGCTTTTTAGGTTAATAAAACAGACACTGTCATATCAACACCTTCAAGATTAAGCTCCTCTCCACTTTCTCATGTATCACCAATGTCAAGGACTCCAAATACTTATTTCTAGAAGCAAGTACATCTATTGACTAGGAGATTCATACTGAGTCTACTTTTCCAAGTTAAATAAAGTATTTTCACATCATAATTCCTGTTTTTTTGTAATCCAACATGCAGAATTATCTTTCTTGAAAAAGTCTACAAAAAGAGCAATGTGATGTTCCAGAAGCACATACTTTTATACTGTTTGTGTATTCCTTGTACATAAAAAAATCCTAAATGTCTCGTGAACAAGAAATGAATCTGTGATAGAGTAACTTCAACTTGAAACTAACGTTTAGGCTTTCATGGTTTGACTCCAAAAATCTAAGTTTTTCTGTTGTTTCTGACAAACAACACAGTCAGAATAATCCATTCTACAGAGCAAAGATCCCACCAAACGATGGTTGAAACATAATATCTCTCTACGTGTCAGAGATGCCATAACAGAATTCATTATTTACAGAATCATGGAATCATTAAAGTTGGAAAAGACCACTAAAATAATCTAGACCAATCATCAACGCATCACCACCATGCCCACTAACCCACGTTCCTAAGTGCCACATCTACTCTTCTTGAACATCTCCAGGGACAGTGACTCCACTACCTGCCTGGGCTGCCCATTCCAATACCTCACCACTTCTGACAAGAAATTTTTCCTAATACCCAACCTGAGCCTCCCCTGGCACTCCTTCTTAATGCCATTCCTTCTGCTCATATCACTGTTAGCTGGGAGAAGAGGCTGACCCCTGCCTCACGACAACCTCCTTTCAGGTCACCATAGAGAGTGACAAGGTTTCCCCTGAGCCTCCTCTTCTCCAGACTGAACAACCCCAGCTCCCTCAACTGCTCCCCATACACTTCTGTTCTAGATCTTCCATTGCTTCACTGCCCTACTCTGGACATGCTGCAGGGCCTCAATATCTTTCACGTTGTGAGGGGCCCAAAGCTGAACACAGTAGTAATACTTATATATTACTTCCTTCTTTACAGAGCAGTTTCTTGAATGTAGTGTGCAATTTTCAACAGGAAAGAAAAAAGATACCGTTGTGATTTTAGAAAATGAGTGGCCCAGCTATGGACCTAAACCAGCTGTGATTATTCTAGACACCTATTTCCAACCTTCTCAAAAGTTATAGGATTGATTGGCTTTTCTTTTTAGATTGATGGTTCACTGTAACTAAGAGGAGTGGATAAAACAACACTATTATTCAGATAGAGTAATTCTAATGACCTACGTGACAGGTAATACTATGAAATACATAAATCTTAACAATAATAATTCAAAATTCTGAAAACATTGCCAACAGCCCATCCATCTGCAGAAGGATCACAGCTGAAGCTCACAGACAAGTCACACAGCCATAGAAGTCAGAACAAAGCAGAAGCCTGCTCTTAAAATAACAGTCTTGGTTACAGTTGCAATCATTTCTGTCACAGGAATTTAGAAAAGACTTCGGAAAACACTTTAAGGCTATGATGCGGGATGGATAACCACAACCCGCACAGCAGCAGTTCCCCTCAGTGCCTGAGGCCCCTACCCTGCGTGCAATGTCAGCTTCTGTCCACATTACCGATTTTGTCCCATCACCGACATACAGACGGTGCTGTGACAAACAGCTGAAAACACAAGCCTGCCGGCCAAGGAGCATCAGACCCGTCTGTTTACCTGCAAAAAGATACTTCGTAGTTCGGCAGGATCTGCTCTTTTGATGGAAGGCACCTGCAAATAAAAGTATGGTAACGCTTCACCAGCTGAGCTAGAGACACAACTCAGGAACAAAACGCAATTCGCGCCGATAAGGGCAGCGGTATCGGCTCTCTTATCTAACCGATAAGCGGACTCAAACACGACACGCCTGATCACCGCCGTCCGCCCGGTCAGCCGGGTACCGCTGACCGCCGTCTCAGCGCGCCGCGCCCCGTCCCTCAGGATGCGGAGCTCCGGGCCCCGACTGTTCCGTCCCGCACACGCCGACTAATGGCCTCGGCCCGCGCCGCTCCCCCTCGGCAGGGGAAGGTAGGACCGGTAGCGCTGCCCCTACCCCGCGGCCGCCCCGCCGCCGCCGTCTTCCTCCCGCATCCCCCCGGGAGGACGGAGCGGCCGCCCGCCTCCTCCCGCGCCCAACGACGGAGGAGTCACCTTGACCGCCATGCTGCGCCGGCGAACGGGAGGAGGAGGAGGAGCCGCGCGCTTCTACCCACCCGCCGCGCCGCCGTGGGAGGCAGCGCCCGGCCCCGCCCCGCCCCGCCCCGCCCGGCGGGCTCTCCGGGGCGCCCGCCGCCGCGGCGCCCGGCGGCCCCTCGCCTCGAAATCTCGCGGCGGAGCGGGCGGTACCGGCCGGGGCCCGGTGGGCTCGAGCGGCCGCCTGCCCAGCTCCGCGCCTCCGCGCCACGGGGTGTGGGGCCGCCGCCTAGGGGAGGGAGGCGCTCGCTCGAGTCCCGCGCCGTCGGGGGGGGAACTCCCGGCGGCGTCTGTCGCGGCCCAGGGAAATGGGAGGGCGCTTCGGCCGCGCCCCTCGGCGCGGCAGGGTAAGGGCAAGGGAGCGGCCGGGCACGCGGCCGTACGGCGCCTCACGGCTGCGAGGGTCGGAGCGGCTCGCGTGACCGTAAAGCTGAGCGGAACCCTCCGGGCCGAGGTAACGCAGACCGCCCGAGGGCAGCTCGGCGTCGCTACGGCGCTCGCAGAAGGGATTCTGAAGAAACCTGCCTGCTCGGCGAGCGCCAGCCGCCCCGCCGCTGCGCTCCATGGGGGGCGGTCCGGACCCGGAGGCAAAGCCGCCGACGCTCAGTGCGATCGCCCCCGGGGCCCCTGAACCCGCCCGGCGCCGAGGCAGGCGCGAGCCCGAGGCACGCTCTACGCGCGCCCACCGCATCGGAGCGACCGCGCGACGGGGCTACCCTGAGGGCGGGGCTATGCAAACGAGCACTCCTTAAAGGCTCCCGCCGGGACAACGCGATCTTCGACAGACAGCCGGGCATGCGCGCGCAGTCCCGAGCCTCGCCGAGCACAGCCGTTGGTTCTCCGCCGCTTTTGGGCGGGCGGAAGCGGAAGTGTGTGCGCGTGTTCTCATTTCCGTCGAGTGGGCGCGCGGCTTGATTCGTTCTGCCCGGGTGACTCGGCCGCCGCCGCCGGGAAATGGCGGGTGAGTCCTAGGCTGGGCCCAGCCGGCTCGCGGCCCACCTGTAGCTGGCGAGCGAGGCGGCGGAGAGCAGGGCGGGGTGTTGCCGTCGGCCATCTCTTAGGGAGAGTGTCGCCTGGAGCGCGGAGGGTGCCCCTCCCCTCGGCCGAGCCCGAGTTTGTGCTGGGCCGCAGACGGGAGCAGGGGCCCCTCGGTGGCCTTAACATCCTCAGCAGAGGAAGTGGAGCAAGAGCTCGGGCCCTGGGTGTCGGGTTGTGGGCTGGGCGTCTGCTGCCTTGAATTTGCTCTGCACCTGAGCCGTGTGGCGCGCCGTGTGCGGCTCTGTGCCCGCCCGGTTATTGATAGCGTTTCCGGCTTAACTTCATTCCGAGTAACTTGAAATGCAAGGAAGAACTTCTGATAATGCTGCTGGAATTGAAAGGCAGGATGGGTTTAACGCGCTTGCAAAATACGTTGATAGGTGACACAAGTTTTGTGCACTAGATTAGACTTCGCAAAACAGGGTAGCTGTAATTTCCTTCCTTCCTATCTGCTCTGGAAGGAAAGTAATGGCTAGATAATGGCTGGTAGCATTCCTCCCACAGTTCAGGAACACCTGAAATGCATTAACTCTTACTCAAATGTGGTATCTGCATATATTTTGGAAAACACTTTATAATGAGAAAACAGATTTACTTAAAAAGTAGGCAGAATGAAAAGCGAGAACTTGCAGGAAGAACTGTGCGCTTTGAAATGAAGTCAGTGTTATGAAGTTGTTTCTTCTCTTCTTAAGAACTTTTTAAAAATACTTTCCATGAGTTAGACTGACCCAGATTGTACATATCTAAGCTCTTTCAAAAACTCTTTTTCTTTAGGACTTACTCCTATGGAGAAGAAACTGGCTGAATACAAATGTAACACAAACGAAGCAATTCAGCTAAAACTAGGTAATGTCAATTTTTAATTATTGTGTGCTCAGAATATTTTAACATCTATTTAATATTAAAATCCTTATAATTAAATCTACCTAGGTTATAATATGTACTTATTAATATACAGACACAAGAATAGGAACACATAGTCCAATTTTGTTGAGAGTAGGAAAATGCAGCTACAGAAACTCAGGCTTGTACCTGCATAATAACATCAGCAATTTATGTTACTAGAGTGCATTGGAATTATGTCACCTTGTTCTTCTTGAGGTATTAGTATGTTCTTTTAGTTTCTTCTTCTCTAGAACTTTTGCTACAATATAGTCTTAAGTATGCATCGTATTTCTTTCGAGGAAATGATAAACACAATAAATAAAACTGGAAAGTGTTCTTTGGTTTGTTTTTTTCCACCTCTCCCTCAACATCTAAACAACACAAGCCATTTTCAACAGTCTTTAAAATCTACATAGAAGTGCTACTCCCTATTTTTCAGAACTGTTTATTGTTTCATATGGCTAACTTGTAAACTTGCTTACTACCACATCCAGAATACAAGCAGAATTACTGAACTCTTGTTGGACTGACTTATATCTGAAACTTACTTGTATTGGTAATTAATAAGAGAAAAATAGGTAATACGGCTATGCTTTTTTATCTTTCCAAACCTTCAGCATTTTGTTTCCTTGAGCAGTACAAATAGCATCACTTATTAAGAAAGTAAAAATAATTAACTTTTTAAGCGCTCTGAAGAACTCCTATTAACAGTTGGTTCTGCAAAACTTAGACTTTTAAATGCATAATTGGCTTGAGACAAAATGTTATTCTTACCAAAACATGTCTTTGAGCTGCTAACCTGTGAATCATTTCTCTTCCATTTAAACAGTTGTTCAAATACTCATTCTGTGACTATTTATATATAATCTATATATCTAATGTTTTGATTTTCCTCTTCTGCCTTTCTAAAACTGAAGGAAAGGATGAAAAGTTATAGAATATATCTAAGTAAATTTTATCAAGACATTTGAGGAGTCACTCTATCAGTTTTCAGGGCGACTGCTTTTTTACTTGTTCCCATTACCTCACGTCACCTAAGATTTTCAGTTTACTTTTTTCTTTTTGAGAGCATAGTTCTGGGTTTGTTTGTTTTTTTTTTTTTTTTTTAATCTTGCTACTTTGTCTCAACTGTGTTGCTTTCTGAATCTGTTTTTGAGAGGGCTGAGTTTCATCCTGTTATTAAGAAACTCTTCATTTATTTTACTCCCTGAATAACTTCATTAATGGAAAATCCTTTTTACTTCATCTCCAGTTCTACTGGGGTAAAACAGCAATGAGGTTGTAGTTTTATATTTTCTTAATTAAAAAAGAACACTTAATAGCACTGTTAAGTCCTACAGCATTGCATGCACTTGTAACTCATTCTAAATTAGTATGTAACTGTCTTCTTGAGCTACCTATACCTCATTCATGGGGCTGAACAATCACATTAACACCTACGTGAAGAATTATATCCCTTCCAATTTCAGGTAGTTATTTTAACTACGAATGGAGAGGATATCTGGGAATTAAGTATTTCAGTCTTCTCTAAGTCTTCCCAGAAAATCCTACTTTAACTTCTGGTTTCCCTCACTAATCATAAATTTTGTGATGGAAGAACTTCAGTCACAGTTACTGTGCAGTAGCCACTGCTAACTCTGTAAGCATGAATAAAATACTTGTTTGCTACATTACTGAGTGTGAATAGATGCTACTTTAGCAAATGCTTTCTCGTTACTAGCAAAGACCTCTAACACCAAGGGTTTGAAGAAAAATAAAAGTTGTGGGAGAATTGCTGATTGTCTTGGTAATATTGGTGAAAATACCAATATTAGTGTAGATTTGTATGTATCCATGCCAATTCTCCAAAATTGTAATGTGAATATTAATGCCCATAAACATTTCTCTGTTCATCATTCTGTGAAGACTCCCTACAATGAAGCGTTCTGAACTGCATGTGAGAGAAGAATGACAAAATGAGAAGGAAGCTTTGATTACGTGATTGGTCTTGCTTACTGTAAGAATATCCAGCTGGGCTGTGTCCTTAGTGTTCACCACGAAGTGAAAGTCAGTCATTCAGGATATACATACGAAATCATATACGTCTGTGTCAATTTCTCCATTTTATTGTGCTTACTGATTTGATTTGAGGAAATAACGTGCATCTGATTTGCACAGTCTTTATTTTGTTTGTGTGCCAACGTAACGTAGGTTCGTAACTGAAATTGTTTATAGTGAAAGAATGCGTGGACATCTAGCGTAGAATTCCTGTATGAACAAACTGAAGCTGCTGACTTGGTTATGCTCTTTTTTTCTTCTCAGTTCGCTTTCCTGAGGATTTGGAGGATGACAACACAACATTTAATCCAGAGTATAGCCATCAAGTGTTTGGTGATGAGTAAGTTAAATTATTCAGAGTTAAATTAATAGGTCTTAAGGGGAATCTTGTTTCCGAATTGCTTTAAAAATAAATAAATAAAAAGAAAAAAGAAATAATGCTACCAAACTATTGTAAAGTGACATGGCAGTACTTCAGTTTTGTGATTTTATGGTTAAATAATGGCTTTGAATCCTAGCCTCTGGAGTTTTGGCCTTGTAGTCATTTTACATGGTATTTTAAAGGTACTTGCAGAGAACAAAATGCCTGGATTGCATGGTCAGAATTGCTCATTTCAGCTGCTGTTGTGTTCAAGTCATCATTATAAGATTTGCAAGAATTAATAGTTCTTTATTAAAACTTTCACAGTGAAGAGTGCCGAAACCAAAAAGCATCTGTCAATAGTATATCCATTTATTTGTTGTTTTTTTTTAAATAACAATACACCATGGAATTTTTAATTAAAGAAGACCATAGATATCAACTTAAACTCAATTTCTTGGCTGTTTTAGATCACTGATTGTTAAATATTTAACTCAGAGGTTTTCTCTACTAGAGATGATAGACTTTGTATAAGTTAAATGTTCAGGGGATACACAAACTGTTTAGAAAAACAATATAGTCTTCTCTCCAAGTATTTTTTCATTTGTATTGTAGGCAAGTTTGCCACTGCATCCCTAGTGCTAAAATGTCATTTAATATTTTCAGAAGAGCAGTAGTAAACACTCTGGCTGTAGCCAGAAAGAAAAGGAAAATCCACATGCACTTAACTCTGGACTACTTATTTTTCTTTTACAATTCCTTTAAAAAGCATTCTAAGTACTTAGAGTAGGATGCGCTATCTGTATTAATTATACCTATACTGATATAGGTACAATAATTAAATGTAATAAAATCAGTTGTACTACTGCATGTCTGCAGCTGTCATTGAGAGTCATTGCACTTCTCATAATGGGAGAACTCTCCAATCTGTCGGTGTAGTGAACGGGCACACTTTTATTCTGGCGTTTCAAACTTCAAATTAGCGATGTGTTACCACAAGAAAAGATCAGGTTTTATATATTAAAAAAAAAAAAAGAAGAAAAACACAATAGTTTCTGCATTTCTTTTCTTTTTTTTTTTTTTTTTTTCCTGAAAATGAATCCTTAAGACTTAAATGTAGTGTTTATATTCAGGAAATATATTTTTTTTTCAGAATATTTAAAATAAATAGAGCATCTCTTCCATAGTTATTTTTAACTTGATTCTAATAATACTGTTCACTAGAAACATACTTGTTGCTACGACTTGTATCTGGGTATATTATACAGTATGGCTTGCAGTAGTATGTTCCAAAACTTTACACTGCTATACTAAGTTTAGTAAGCGTTGTTTATCAATTTGTATTAATATTAGTGAATTTAAGACAATGATGAACGTAAATGCAATAGTTATTTCAAGTATTCTTTGAGTTAGTGCTATAAATATACAGTTGCTGTCTTACTGAGTTCAGAAACGTGTTCTGTTTCTCCCTAGAGGAGCAAATTTACTAATAAGAACAATGTAAGGCATTATCTCTGTCTATATAGCATACATCCAGCTTCATTCTCTTTCACTATTAAAAGGTTTAGTACACCTCACTTGGAAGGAGGATGTGGATTTAAAGTCTTAAATACTGTGGTTTGAATATTTTGCGATGAAACTCATTTAGAGGTCTGACTGTGCTTTTTTCCTTCCTCAGTGAAGTTGCCTTTGGCTACAAGGGACTGAAGATTCTCTTATACTATATTGCTGGTAACCTGTCAACTCTCTTCCGCATTGAATATACATCTAAAGTTAATGAGAAGTTTGACTGTGTGGAGGTAAAGACAGAGCCAGACTTGTACTTATTGGGAACGCTTTATGGGGACAAACCTTCAAGGGCTACTTATTGCCCTTCCAAACATGTTACATTAAAAATAAAGCTTCCTATTGTGCTAACCTGAAAAAAAAACATAGAACTTATTTATATGTTTTCTCATTGCTCTTTCTTTTGACTCTACTACTGCCATCAAAATTGTACCAAATGAAAAAAAAAAGTCTATTTTCATGCTAGCTGTCTCCAGGAGAGCTAGTGGTTTAATTCATATTTAAGAGACTACATTAGGAAAGAAAAATGAATTTTTTGGAGTAGATTCTGGTGCATTAAGAAAATTGAATATCATAATTGAATATCATCTGAGATTTATTTAGTTTTAGGCAAGGAAAAAACGATTTATTTTGAAAAGAGCTGTTAATAAGGTGATTGGTGAATCTTCACAATGTTCTGTAGTGTGAAGTGGTCGTACGTTTGCACTGACTTCAAATTACTTTGCCCAAGAAATCTATTCTCGTCAAGAGTAAACATCTTTATGATTTAAAGTTCATATTTCAAATTCATCAGAGTTTATTTAAATGCTTTCAAGGAAAAGGCTTTCTAAACAAAAATTGAAATGACTGTGTTAAATTAGTTGTACAGGTTTTTGTTTCTGTGTTCTGAAGCTGCGTTAGAATATAGTTAGTTCAACAGGCTAAGTGCCTGGACATGTCTGAAATACTTCTGAGGCTAGGGCAGCCTACCTTAAGAGTGAAAGGTCAGGTTCTTCAATGTTTGTAAGGTTTTTAGAGGTAAAGAAAAAAGGAAAGCCAGTTGGTTAAGTGATAACCATATTAAAATCAAACAGACCACCTCTCCTTCCAGCCTTTCACCAACATAATTTCAAAATCACGTCACAGTGGGAATCCATACCTCAACACATTTGTATTGACGTGCTATTTTCTGCACAAATAAAGCCACTTTTCTTATCTGGAAATATAAACAAGGTAAATGAGCCCTAAGCTTACACTGCAACTATTTCCATTGCTCAGAATCCTTCCTACTTTCAGGCTCAGTATTGCCTCTATTGAATTATTTTTCAATTGCATAATGGAGTGATAGGGACAAGAAAGAATATCCATTTGAGCTAGCTTCCAGATAGTTTTCTGCAGGCTGTGGCTGAAGAACTTTCACTGTGCTTCCTGTGATATCACTAACAGACTGTGTGTCCTAATAAGCTGCTCATGTGACTATATCTGATCTACTGTAGGGGGAAAAAAAGATACAGCAACCAGACTTGTTCTGCCATTTATATTTGCTGTTTAACTACCTTAAAATATTAACAATTTGCAGAGATGAAAATAAGCACAGTGTTAATTTAAATGCGTATTGCCATTTACTTTTCTAAGCTAACTGTTTAGTTGCTTAGGTCATTTGAGTTAATCATATTAATGCATGAACTATAAACGCTATGCATGACAGATAATCTTTGTGCTTCAAATAAATGGTGTTCAGGAAAGGACATAAGTCTCTGCTTTGAACAAACTGGTTACAAGTGAGAATTGAGCTTTAATGCTGTTTAGTTATTCATACTCTTGCATTTTGTATCTAAAAGCCCACGCAGGCCATTTGACCCCATAGTATTAGCTGTTTTTCCAAGGTCTCTTAACCAGGCATATTTACACATCTTAATATGTTCTCTATGAAGATGCTTCTATACTGCACTAGTGGGGAAGGCTCAGCGAAGTCTTGTCATGCTTTGAACAGATGTATGTTCTTCTTTGGCACTTCATTTAATGAAAATAGACAGAATTTATCCATTGGGTGGCGTCAATTCTTTTAAACATCTGTAGAGAGGCTGCTTTCTTCTGGTATAAATACGAATAGCATTGACCTCTGAATTGCTAGCTGCTTTCAGATTTGCAGCTGTACAAGTAGCTTCCTTTTCTTCCAGTTTTCATGATGGAGTGAGGGAAAGTATTTCACTAACCTCTGAAACAATCTTTACTATCCACGTGTTATCATGCTTTGGGGCTGGTCTGATATATTTGTTTTAACTCAAGTTAATGAAAGTGCAATTTTAATATTGGATATACTTTAACACTGCAGATGATTCCACTGCTCCTCACTGACGTTAATATTTATAATTGGTAGAAAAGCTCAGCTTTCAAACGTATTTCTATGGTAACTTTTAAGTGAACACACCACTTTGAAATAGCATGAAAATATACACAAATGTGGTAACTGCCTATTAGTATAATTATATTAATATTATCCAGAGTCAAACGTAATGTACGAAGAGATCCTGATGGCTCAATTAGTCCTACTACAAAACAAGTTAGGTTACAAGTCCTTACTGTGTTTCCTATCTTCATCTCGTATGATTTCCTTAGGAAGGTAATACATACTGGTGCTTGGAAGTCTTGTTTTAATTGTGGATTATTTTACGTATCTTTTGCAGATGTGCAAAATGAAAGTCACTAGCAGTGATTTCCTCTGACTTTATCACCAGGGCAGGATTAAGATCTGTGTAAATATACTTGCAGTCTGAAAGAAAGATGAGCATTTCTGAAATGCTGTGCTCCTTACAAATACTCGTTCTTGTTAACGTATATAATTCAGTGATTCAGCAAAACATGGCTCACTTTCTGTTACGCAGTTACATTACGAAATGCAAGCAAATACATTAAGCTAGCATTGCTCGAAGATGAACAGAAAGGGGCCTTTGTTTTGAGAACAAAATTGATGTAAAGGCTGTAGACATTTTCACTGCGTTGTTATAGCAAGTATTGTAGAGCTATATCTTAATCGCTTTATAGTGCTCTCTACAAATATAAATATAAATGTTGGTAGTACCAAACCATTAAGAATAAAACTTGTTTGTGCTGAACCACATCCATCTTTCTCTATACTAAAAATGTAACTGAATGATGAAGTGCTATTCATTTGCAGGTGCATTGCCTCTACTTAAGGAAGGATGGTTGAAAGGACAGGAATTAGTAGCATGTTGTATTAGCCTTTTGTAGTGTATTTTGTTCTAAGCATCTTAATTTCCCTGTTTTGAATGCTAAGTAGCGAGGGTCTTGGTTTCAAACTAATACCCATCATGCACATAAACGGTGTGAAAGAGCTGCTTAGTAAGTTAACACAAAGTGTTCTTGTGTCAGTCCTTGTGGAAATAGATACAATACAAACATTACAGCTGAACTCACCGCAAACTCCATTAAGTAAAAACCTGGATTCATTGTCCAGAGGAAAGTTTGAATTGAATGTAAGCTCATTTTGTTGAATGTAATGTCAGGCTTTTAGGGGCTGTATTGAGGAGTACTGTTTTGTTAAGTTGAGACCAATTCATTAAGTTTTATTGCCTGGTGAGAAGCAGTAATACGTTATTGTGAAACTTCATCAAATATTCATGGTTAAAAAGAAGTAGTAAATGTATTCAATCAAGTGGTCTTTTTGGGGTCTGAAAAGGATTATGAAGTCTGCTCAGCTGATAGTCTGTAACTTTCAGTTTGGTTAACTGAAAAGGGTAATTTTGATCTCTGAATTTAATGTTAGTGTCAGAACATTTCTTCCCTCTCTGCTAAGTTAAATTTTACACGTCAGAATTATTAACCATATTTCTAAATTGTGTTTTTTATATTGTCAGCTTTGTTTTCAAAATATTCTTTGATTAGAGTACAAGCAAGCATTTCCAGCACAGACACATAAGGATGCAAGAGTGGTGCTAGCTGTCACTTTCTTGTTTGGGAGCTACCATTTTTTAGTCTTTGTTCCTTTTTCTCCACTCAGTTCCGTACCCCCTAATACCAGTTATGGTGTTTGTTTGGGAATCCCAGTTCCACAAGACTGTGTGCAGCATGGTCACAGAGGTTTGCTGGATGAAAAGCTTGAGCTACCAATTTTATTGCATTTTTCAGAAACTAATGTTTCATCGAACGAACTAGGAAAACAAGAATATTGTTCCTAGTGCTTGATTGAATCCACAGCTTCCTTCCTTATCTTGCTGGTATTCCTTATGTTCCTTCACACTGAATTTTTATTAGAATAGTTATCAACCCTCTTCGATTTTGCTTAGACAAATTAACAGTCACTAAATGTAAACATGTTCAGGAACTTATTCATGTTGTAACTACTAGCTTTTGAATACTGATAATGGTTCGACTGACCCTTTTGTGTCTCTTCAGTTATCTTTATCTGCTCAAAGGTCTGAACAACAGGAATATTTGTCTCTTTTAAAGTTACTGATAGGCCATAGCATTCCTTTTTATATTCATCTCTAATAGCAAAATGATGACTTTGCTGTCTTTTTAATCTTCTGCTGATCCCGCCCTGTTTTGTATTCCCCAGGCAGATGATGTTGAAAGTAAAATTAGAGAAATTATTCCTCCTGGCTTTTGTACAAATACAGATGACTTTGTCTCTCTGTTGGAAAAGGAGGTCAACTTTAAGCCCTTTGGAATGCTGCTACACACATATTCTGTTCATAATGAGGAAGCTGGTGAAGACATTGCATATCAGATATATAAGGTATGAAAAATAAGTGAAACTTCATAAGCAAGCAAATTAAAGTTTATTTTGCAGCGAGGCACCTTCTGTAACGCTCAACATATATATATATATATATATATTTACATATACATATATAAATATTATCATTTGACCAACTTATTGGTTAGAAGCATTCTTTTTTTTTTTGTATGGGGGGAAGTAATTAGGTTTTGCAGATTTTTTTTTTTTCCTTTTGCATCTGTGATAGGTTTCACCTGACTTCTCCTGGCTTTTTCCCTAGGCTGACATGACGTGTCCAGGCTTTCGAGAATATCATGAAAGGCTTCAGACATTCTTGATGTGGTTTATTGAAACTGCTAGCTTTATTGATGTAGATGATGAAAGATGGAACTACTTTATAGTGTAAGTACAGTTCTAAAGCAACAGTGGACCTTATTACCTCCACAAAGCCTGCATTTTAATTGTGGCTGGCCAATTATTGGAGCAGTATAATGATATTTTTCCCAGGAAAGAAAAACCATTGTTTATCAGGCTTGAGTTTTCCTCCATTATACTTTGGGGAACCTTGAGAATAGAGCTGAATTAAATGCTGTTGTCCGTTAGAGCCCTGAATGTAGGCTTAAACAGTAAAATAAGCTTTGCCTGTGTTTTCTTTTACTTGCCACCTATTCATCTTTATAATAGGCAAGTGCACTGAAGTGCTGTAAAGAGGTCTGATTTATCCAAGTTGCTGCACACCAATTAAGTGAATTGTACATTCAGAACATAGCAGGTGTACCCATTGGGCCCTCACAGAGTAGCTTGCTGACACTGAAAATTCAGTTGGAGAATGGAAAAGAAAATGGACACTGCATGGGAGCGCGACTGTAATTGACCTGCTTGGCTTTCTGTTTTATCTGCAGATTTGAGAAGTATAATAAGGATGGAGCTACGCTCTTTGCGACCGTGGGCTACATGACAGTCTATAATTACTATGTGTACCCAGACAAAACCCGGCCACGTGTAAGGTAATTGGCGGTGTAACTCGTGCCTTGCCTTTTATTTCAGAAGAGGGAACTGCTGAAGTTCCCAATACTTGTTTATAATGGTGTTGATTTGTTTTAAAAAAATCCCCATTATTAGTTGGCTACGCACCGATTTATTTCATTGTTCCCTTCTTGAAGCAGAGGGAATTGCACACAAGTTTTGAATATTTAGCAGTTCTAAGATTCTGTAAGAATTATGTTTTAACATTAAGACTGATGCATGTGTTTTAAGAAAAACTTAGTTTTTATGCCTTTACACTGCAATGTTTGCAAAAGCATGCATTTGAACTGAAATATCAATACATTCCTTTGTCTGTAGCCAGATGCTGATCTTGCCACCATTCCAAGGAGAAGGCCATGGTGCTCAGCTTCTCGAAACAGTTCATAGATACTATATGTCTTCTCCTACAGTACTTGATATTACAGGTATACGTTAAATTTCTAACTCATTTCACCTGTTTGGTCACATTCAGACACTGCTAGCCCACAAGCCAGCTTTCATGTTCACTTGTTAGAATTAAGTGGCCTTTTGAAGGTTTAGCTTCAGCTCAGTTCAGGATTAACAGTGCCCTATTTTACAGAAGAACTGTATATAATGTAGCTCCTTAAATCCTCTACTTAGAGAACAGCACACCAGGAAAATTCAATCCCTAGCATGCATGGATTACCAGCTAATTAGCCATTTTATTGTGAGATATACAGCTGAGTTTGCCAGGAGATCAAGCTTTGTCAGATTCCTTGTTCAGCTAGTTCCTATTAGCCAAAACTCAAAACTGAGAAAAATCTGAAATAGTGTTTTAACACGTATGTAAGCCAAAAGTCAACAGACAAAAATCTGCCCAGGAGTTGTGCTCCATGAGCATGCACTACTGACTGAATGCACCCCTCATGTTAGAGATGAGCCAATAAATACATGAAAGTGAAAATTTAATGGAAGAATGGGGGGGGGGAGAGGGTACACACATCTTAAAAACATAGCATTTAAATGGTTAGAATCATGACATCTGTCCTGTAGTTTAAAGTCCAATATAGGAAGAAATACAGTTTAAAAATATAAATTGACTAATCTAAGGTCTTCTAAGACCTCATCTCAAAAGAAGAGAAAGACCTTCTATTCCTCTACCCTCCAAAAAACTAATTAAAATGCATTACAACGCTTGCTTTCTTCATAGTATCACTGCAGGATAATCCTAACGCAGGGTAATCTACCTTGTAATTTTAATCCAATTCATAGAAACCTAAAGAAGCATAACTTCCTTTATGCAGTAGGAAGTCTTAATCATTGTGTGATTTTTATCCTTTTTTTCCACTAATACTACAAAGCTTTACATAGCTTTTATAACTGAGAATAAACAGTCTTAAATATAGTACTACGTAAATCATATGACACATTCATGGCTCAGTGCCTTTAATGCAAATTTGTAGCAAACAGCAAATTTGCACTAAAGTAACTCTTTGGATTAAAGCAGGAGGAAGCCTGCAATATTCTGCATGGCACTGAAGTTATGTAATCTTACACTTCTGCAAGATAATTTATTGTCATTCTGATAGAAAGTCAGGCTTGGCAATCTTGATAATGGACCAAATTCATACTTATCCACTGAAGTTGTTAAGTAAAGCCTTTCCTCTCTTCAGAATGATTAGAATTTCAACTTCCTTAAAGAAACTAATGCCTAAAAAAAAATGTATTTCAGACTTTAATATTTGCAATGGATACTTTGTCCCAACTACCAACTCATAATCCTAGTTGACGCAAGTGAAATGTATGTTGGTAGTGCTTACCATACAGAAACTGCCTCATCTTTCTTCTAACTAATTTGAATGAAAAGGAGCAGAATAAATGAATCTCAGTACAGCCTCTTCAATCTCTTTTGCAGAATAAGTGCTGTAAGTTTTGCCACACAAGATTATTGCACTCATGTGCAAATCTTTTTTACTGATGCAGTCCTAGGCAGTCTGCAACCCAAAAAACAAATTGCTGGTTGTGCAGTGCTGCATATACTAGGACCAAAACTTATATGCTACTCCTTTCTCTTTGTAACATACTAGCTTTTGATCATTCTTAAACCGCAAATGTCAACTACATAAAATAGTCCTCATCTTGAGGAAAAGGGGGAGAAAATGAATGAAAAAGCACAGCTGGAATATAGTCTGTTCAACAATAAATTGAACAGAAAAATAAAGGTAGGGTAGAGCATGACCCTGCTCCTCACTTGTAGTAAACCTGTTCAAACTATAAAGTGGTGATTAAGTCTATTTGCAGCATTGTAACATTTCCTTCTCTGTAGTTCATAGGTGGGAACAAAGTTGCAAATAGGACTATGTTGATGATCACTGAAGCTAGTTCTTGATTTTGTTGTTTTGGTTTTTTTAATAAAGCTGCAGTTTTGATAGCAATGCTGCTGTTTCAAGCAAGATGGAAGTAACTTCAAATTACCTTCAGCTTTTATTTCAGTCTTTATCCACATAGTTTGTCTTAAAATAATTATGATGCTCTGATCTGCTATAGAATAGAGGGAACATACAAGAAAAAAGGGTTTATGTTTTGAACTGTCTTCAACTTGTTTTGTCAGTCTCTTGGAAACGTGTATAATACTGTACACAGTACAATTTAACTGACATTGTCATACATTTAAAACTTTGATAGCAGTACTTATGATTAAGCACAGCTATTTATACATGATGAATGTTGCATCTGGTCTCGTCTTCCACAGCTTTTGTAATTGCATACCAGAAATGAAGAAACAAATAATTCTTAATTAACTATGTGCTCTTATAATTTTTTTTTCTAGCTGAAGATCCATCTGAAAACTACATAAAGCTAAGAGACTTTGTTCTTGTAAAGCTCTGTCAAGACTTGCTTTGCTTTTCCCCAGGAAAGTTAATGCAAGGCTTCAGCCAAGAAATGGTAATGGAAGCTCAACAGAAGCTGAAAATAAATAAGGTATTAAAACTGAACAGTGGTAGTTGGACCTATTCTTATCAAGCTAGTACAACGTAGGGGTGGAGACTTGGAGTTTACATACTGTGGTTTATTTCAACAGATTTCTACAGTGTATCTGAAAGTGAAGAAATTGCTTAAGATTTTAAGTAAATGCCTTCTTGTTTTCCATCTAATACTGTTGATGTAACAGAACTTGAAATATTCCAATTTCAAGTGTCAGTTTCCATCTCTTCAGGTATATCTATATAAATAGCCACTGTTGTTCTGAGAACACAGAATACTAAGGTAGTAATGCTAGCACTGCTACTGAGGCAGCTCTAACTGTTTGAAGGACTAAACTGTTAAATTGAACAATTAAACAGATAATTGTCCAAGTGATTAAACTCATTAGTAAGCTCTTCATTTAAAAATACATGAATGTGTTTTTTATGGAAGTGTTGAATGAGGATTGCAGAGGAAAAACCTTATTCAAATATATTCATTAAAATGTTATTGTTTGTATAAGAGAAGTAAGCCTGCAGCCTTCTGTACCTGAGATGTTACACCTAAAAGGATAATTAAGTTTATTTTTTAATAGAATCTAAAGATGGATTAGTATAGCAAACCATTTTATTTTTAACCCTGTTGCTCAGCAAAGGAGTAGTTGATCTTAAGTTCAGTTTAAACGTTATAACAGTTCATAGTAATACAGTAGAAACATCAGTCTGTTTCCTTTCCAGATGTCATAGTTGCTGATCAGTGTTCCAAAGTCACTTCAGTTTTCCACATACTGATTCCTTTGTTATCTTCCTAGTAAAAAGAAACATTTAAATATTCTTTCATTCTCATTTTTAGCATTTCCAGGGGACCTTGTGAAGAGCAATAAGTATGTCAAGATTATTAATATTAGTACAGGAAGTACTATGTAGTAATTAATTGCTTAATGTTACTCTAGTTCCAGTTCTTCAGTTCTTTGGATTACTTTTGGACTCTGACTTCTGGACTTTCTGCCATTCATTTATAGCAGATCCTTGAAGCACCTTCACAGACACTGCAACATTTTGAGAGGTTACACACTAGCTGTACTGGAATAAATTATTTCTTGAGGAGTAACTAGAACATTTGTTCATTTAACCCACTGCTAAGGAGGATCAGGCTGATTGAGGTTTTGTTGGTATCTGACTGATATCTGATAAGCTGAGGAGTTACTCAAAGTGGAGAAATACTGTGATACTACTGCTGAATGACCTCTTTACTCAGACATGTTCTTTATTCTCCTTTTTGTTCACTAGCAACACACAAGGAGAGTTTATGAAATTCTCCGATTGCGTGCAACAGATATGGGTGATGCAGAACAATCCAGAAGCTACCGGTTGGATGTTAAAAGAAGGCTGATTGGCCCCTATAAGGTATATGACTTATGTATCATTTAATACTTATTTCAAGGCTAATTATACCTGATTTTACTTCCATTTCCATAAATGTAGTTGATGCCAATTATGTTGCCAATCAACTACTATTAGTTATGCAGCATTCAGCTGACATACACAGATGCAGAGAACATTCATTCGTGGCTGTACCAAAGATCTTGTTTGACTCCTGTTACTTGCCCAATTCCAGCAGAAATTTATTACCCTTACAGTACCTAGCTACAAGTGGCATTAAATCCAATTAGAGCAAAGGGAAGGGAGAGGGGAGGGAAGTCACTTTCTTGGAAAGATTGAGAGTATCTTAAATACATAAACCACAAAGTTAGAAGTGAGGGTTAAATGCTATATATTTACACTAGAAAACTACGTATAGTTTAGATTCCTGTTCTGCTCATTGCCTAGGTCTAACAGAGCAGCTTGGTAACCTAGCCATGTCTGTACAATACTCCCTGTAGATGGGATATGATCTCAACAGTGAAGTTGAATCAAATACTCAACTTAGTGCAGAGTTACTTTCTTATTTCCTACCCAGTATGCTTTTGAGGATCTACTTGCTACATGTTGCATTAACTGATCCTCTAAGATTAGGGGTGTGTGTGTGTGTGTATGTATGTGTATATATAGTGTATGTATGTATCTCCTAGTTGCTAATGACATGAGTCTCTATATTGATTGCAAAAACCCACAAGCCTAGGTTCATTGCTGTAACTAGCATGTTAGCTACTCTGCAATTAAGTAATCACCAAGCAACCCAAAACCTGGTTGGAAAAGTTTCACAAAGTATCAGAAGTATCTTGATTAGCTTGCAAGCCTCCCTAAAGCAGCACTTATCCTGTTATACCAAAATAGCAGAACTTTGATTGTACTCATGTTGGACTTAGGGGGTCTGTTAGCAGAAATGAGAACTCAGCGCTGCATTAAACACTTGGCTGATCTGGAGATAACACCGTGTCATGCTGAGTGACAGGATCCTAATCAAAACACTTTCTATTCTCTTTTGTGAGTGTCTTGTCTCATTTACTAAATTTCACTCGCTGTCCACTACAAATAAGGCCTTGATTTTTCATCCAACAGGACTGTCACATGTCCTCAGCATGTAATTCAGCTTAATATTTGGAGGAAATCTAAAATGCCATAAGCAGCTTCAAATCTAGTGCTTCTAATAATTGTTTTCACTTTAGTCTTTGCATGTAATAAATCCATTGAGTAAAAACTTTACAGATATTGTACTGCTAGATATATGATATTTATCTTCTAAAATGTTAGAGTATTCTATTGCTTTAAATATTTCACTTTTTCAACCACAGTTCTCTTCTAGAGATTGATCAAAACAGCCAGTGCCCTTTCCCTGATTTTTTTTTTATTTTTTTTTTTTAGGTTTTAAGTTTCATATTCTAAACTATGGTCATCTTGTTTATGATTGTTCTGCCTAGTGAATGGCTTACATGCTAATTTTTAACAGTTTCACAAAAAAATCTTATGCTCCTGTTTTTAAAAAAATAGAATAAAACTTGCCAGAACTGCAGCTGAACTCTCAATATGTAGTAATTTGGGGGAGAAAGCAACCTTTTATAAAGAATTGGCAATATTACAGCACTTTTAATGCTTGTGTCATGTAAACACAACTCTTTTATAAAGCACTTGATAACTTCATTTGAATTGTATTGTACAGGTACAGTACAATTCTAAATTCTTAATATCTTCCACTATTAACAGTGGTTCTGCATCTCAGAGCTATTTCCTGACTAACTGTTGCAGAAATACAGAAAAATTTTGAAATGAGTCTTCAGCTTGCCAGATAATTGATAATACAGAAACTGTGGAGCTTTAACAGAAAAGGTTTCCTAGTTAAACTGTTAGTGGATTTTTCTTTGTTTGTTTTTATTATTTTTTAAAGCACTAGGGACTTCATAAAGACCTAGATATTGAAATGGAATAAATTCAGTAAAATACTGTACTCTTCACTGTTCCTTATGTTCAAATTACTGTTTATTTAATTGCTTAGAAAAAGCAGAGAGAACTTGCCAAGATGAGAAGGTGCTTAAGACCAGAGGAGCTGACAAATCAGTTGAACCAAATAGACCTAAACATGCAACATGAACAGTTAGAAGAGAGCTTCCAGCAACTTGTTTCGGATTACCGAAGAGTCCTAGAACGACTTGCACAAGCATGAGGATTTGACCTGTACAGGAAACTTGCAGATTTCTGCACAGTGTTATGAAGCACATCCTTAATTGCCACTTAACTGCAACAACAACAAAAAAAAACCTTGTGACGTTTTAATCACATTAAGGGTGCATTGTGTTTCTGTGAATTTTGAATATTTTCTATTTTAGTGCTGTAGATTTAAAAATGTTGTTCTTCGAGTTTGGGAGCGCTTAATGCTGAAATAAACTGTAGATTCTCAGATACAATAACACGTACATTGTTTGAATTTTTTAACCTTTCTGTTTTGCCTCAGGACTTAACAGATATCCAAGTAGCAAGTTAGTACATGATTGTATATATTTATACTGCAACTGTTCTAAATTTCTCCTAACTTCATCCTCCTCAGACTGTTTCACTTGGGCCCTACAATAATACTGTTTAAGCCTGGGCATTCTTCAGCCACATGAACAAGTTATAAGACTAGTTCTTTGGACTGACTGGCATGCATCTGGAGTACAGGCTCTTTACATCTTCTGAGAAGAGGATCCTGCTGCCACCAGCTATTAGGACCTGATCTACTTCAGATTCTACAGGGGGTAGTCTTAGGCATGTTTTTTTTTTTTACCATCCATTTTTTTTACCAACCACTCCTCCATGAATTCACTGGTTCATGTTTAAGAAAAAATACAATTGGAGAAGCAATGTATTGATTCCAAAAGCACTTTCCTTAGCTAATGTAAGAACTTACAAATCTGTAGGAAGCCAGTGCTTTTATATAGTTCCCTTACTTCGTGAATTCAAATATATTCTTTTTAGAATTTTCACTCTTCTGCCTAGGATATCTTATGATATGTGGTTCATCTACTGTAGTGTCAGAAACTATTACAGTTATTAATCATAGAATCACAGAATGGTTGGGGTTGGAATGAACCTCTAAGATCACCTAGTTTCAACCCTCCTGCTATAGGCAGGGACATCTCCCTCTAGACCAGGTTGCTCAAAGCCCCATATGTATTGATTTTACATTGCTAGTCCTTCCTTCAACAACCAGAAAGATTGCAATCAAACCACAAGTTCTATCTATTAAAATGTTTCACTTATAAAAGGCTATAAGCCACAAAGTTGGAAGTATTTGAAACTGTGAGACTAGGAGGTCTGTGCAATTAGTTGCAATGGAAGGCTGTTACACAGAACAGGACAGATTTAAGTCCCACTCATGCAGAACATACTAGCTGCCACTATATTGGCTTATATCTCTGGAGGGAATATCATAGGGATGGGCTGGCCTCCCCATCACTCAAATCTTCCTACAGCTTAAAAAGATAAACAATACATATACCAGTACTCAAACTACTCATTTAAATAAGTTTACCATGTTCTTTGTTCCTTGAGCTAAAAGCCTGCAGAAATGGGCTTTACCAGAAATGAGACTACAGATGCTGTATGAGCCTCCTTTTAGACCTACAAACACGTGTGAAAAGGATCATTGATCTAACAATTGCTGGATTTCCGTGTTCAAAATAGTCTTGCTTCTCGAGTCCAGAGAAACAAAGAGCAAACAAAAAAATCTCCTTTCATTCTTCAAAGTTCATTGCAAATACAAGAATTGCACCCAAACTGAAGGAAATTCAGGTAATAACAAACGAAGGCAAGTCCTTGGGAGTAGCATTTCAGAATTCCCTTTTACCACTGCAAAAGATCTTTATACCAGGAGCAGAAACGTACGTTGTTTTCTTTCTTTAGTAGATAAAGAGCATGCAGTAGTGAAAACATTCCTCAGATACAGGGTATGTGCTCCATTTAAGACCTCTTCACATTTTGAACAGAAGAGATCAAACAAAAGAAATCTAGATCAATGGGAAGAGCTTGATATCCAGGGTTGATTTTTTTGTTTCTTTATTTCTAAGTGGTAAGACAATAAGGGAGGTGTTCCACATTCAACATCTACTATGTTTAGATGCTTTTCTTCTAGTTATCCTCAAAACTGGATGGTGTTCATGTTTTTGAGACCTTCATACTTTCATGGAAAAGATAAAATCTTCACTTTGAATGAGTTCAATGTGGTAGGGACAGTGAACTTGTCATTGTGCATTCCTTAAAGCTGTAAGAATTTGGTAGAGTTTGCCTCATTTTCTACATTTTGCACTTACATGCTTGCTGTTCACTAACAAATGGTGATGTATATTGAGGTCCATGATCTTCAGGTATCGCTGGAAGGCACAACTGTATAGATGTGATCTAAGTCTGCCTCACTGCACTTACAAACTCTCCTGACTTTACTCATCTTTTCTAGAACACATTTCAGCAAGATTTCCCAAGGCAAGCTAACTTCCCCTTCCCTGCTGAGCTACTGCATTTTGCAGGCTCAGCATCATGGAACAGATAAATACCAGTGCTGAAGAAAGGACACCTACTTGTGATTAGTACAACACCCAAAAACCACCAGGTTGGCCGGCAAAAGCTGCTGTGAACTAAATAATCTTCTAAAACAATCTCTAAGTCTAAACAGTTTGAGCCTAAACCCAGGAGTATCCAATTGCTATGCTTAAACTAGAAGCATATTTCTATATTGCTCCAGGTAAGATTTAATGTATTAATAGCAATAAAACATCTTTATTGTTTCATAGCCTTTTATAGACTGCTTTCACCCTTACGTTTTAAAGCACAGCTTTGTGTCTTCCTTCCCACAACTTTTGCTTATGTTACTATTGGCCTGTGTACCATGCTGGTGGAAAAAAACATGGAGATTCTACATTTAGAAAGTATCAACACTGACAGCATGGAGACAATGTAAGTCAGACAGAATCTGCAAGACTGAAGAAGGGAACAGAGATGCTCAAAGGAGCTTGGCTAAAAAGTGATGTCGCCAGAGCTGCGTCTCAACACAAAGCAGAGGACCACTCAAATCACCACTGGTCATCTTCAACATTTCAGAGGATTTGCCAAACATGAACAAAAGACAGCTACATACATCTGGTTCTGATTGGTAACAGAACTTGAAAATAGCAGTAGTGATTCTTCGGGCATACTGTGTTAGGATATAGAATATCTCTCTTTTGCTGAGATAGTAATCTTTGTTAATACAAATTTCCTAACAAACTTCATCTGCTACTTATATTAGAAAAAAGAGAAAATCCTAACCTAAGCACAAATCAAAGACTACTGAATAATGACTGTTAAATTTTCAGATTAATCTAGACATTATAAACATTACAGAACAGTTGTTCTCTTGGAACATAAAACAGACTTCCTTTAATCGATCCCCTCTTGGTTTCTGATCTGCAAAAGGAATTGGGAAATCTAACTGCTAATGTGCACCTACAAGTATTTGAGAAATAACCTGCTGCTTAAGGACAAGTTAATTACAAAGCTGTCAACAGTGTCATTCTAATATTGTCTCCAGTTCTCACATTTTCTTATGCCATCAACAAGTTTTGAGGCCGTTACAATATGGAATTATGGTCTTACAGCAACAGACAAAAGCCAAATGTTCACTTTATTTTCTTTCTCAGCGGCATTTGATTTCCCTGAATAGGAAATACTTATTGACTTGATGAAAACAGATGATAATAGGTTTACCTAGACCATTTTGCTTCTCTCCTTTAGCAACACCTCAGGAAAAAATGATAGAGAACCGCTCCTCATCCGTGACTACTTTCATGTGAGATATGCTACTCTCTGCAGGCACAGAGAAGTACACCCATTCCAGCAATGCATAGTTACATATGCCAACCAGTGACAGCATGTGACTGCTTTACACTGAACTTCATTCTCATAGAACCAGCAGTTGGGTATCTGCAGTCCTAAAAATAACAAATAACAAAAAATAACATAAAACAGTGTCTGATGAAGTTCGAACTTGTGAAAGACAATACTGCATCGTACAACTAGGATCAGGGCAAAGATTTCCTCATTTCTGCTCTGCAAATTAAATAAATGTACATGTACCTCTTGCCAGTGAGTAGCTGGTAATGATGCTCACGAGGTGCAACTATGCAGCTTAGGAATGCTATTTCTTGATTTATTTCTAGCTATATTTTTCTTCTATTGTGAAATCCTGTCACACTGCTCTCACATTATACATGTCACTTAGTGGAGAACGTGGCTGTATGAAGTTAATCATTTTATTTTTGGAGGCAACATAAGATACTGTATTGATCTTTAAACTGCTCCATGGTGTGGATACAAGCTGCATGATAGGCCACCTACCATGCTGTGGCAGCTGATTAACTGATGCACTTTGCTCATGAGATATATCTAGGAGCACTGAGGAGAATGCAGCACCCTTTTTGTGATCACAGAACTCCTGGAGTTTGCTCCTTAGAGGCACAAATTCTTATAGTCTGACTGTTATGCTCATCCATTTCTCGGGCTTTTTCTAGAGTAAATAACGCAGGTAAATAACATCACTATTCCTATTTGAGTGGGGCTTTGAGTCTATCCTTGTTAGCTACATTATAAAATCGTATTTAAAAATTACCCATGGCTACAACAGGAGATAAAGAACTCTAGAGACAAACAGCCTCATCTTCCTTTCAGAATGTCGCTGACTCCTCTGGGTACCACATGTACCTACACGCATGTGAGGGTGTACAGGAACGATACTCACATTACTTGTACATTTCAGCTCCTTGCAATTACTGCCCTGGCACTTTCTGCTCATTTGAGTCCCTTCATTCTGATGCTTGCCCGTGGCTGTGTGATTCACATCCCACAACGCCGTTTCTCAAATATCTGTGGAGCCACAAAAACATAATTTCAAACCAACTGAAAATGCTTTAAATAAATAAATAAATAAATGCCGAATCCAAGCACAAAAGTAGTGGAGAAAACATGAAATTTGCAAGCAGACGTTAGAAGTTCAGCTCGGTTTTTATCGGAATGCAAAGAAGCCCGCCGCACTACCACTACAGGGCGGCTCTGGGTACTTCTGCAGGCGTGGTGACGCCCCACCAGCGCTCGAAGAAAGCTGAGCACCACAGCGAGCTTCGCTCTTCCTGATCTTTATTAAACAGGCCAAATTTGGCTGCGCAGAGGAAATAAGAAGAAATACGCGAGTTTGAAGTTCAAGCCCCGACCTTTAGATTCTGTAGAGACCCCAACAACAAGTAAATAGCAAAAGCTCAGAAAGTTCAGAAAGAGCAACTCAAAACTTTCTTCACAAATGCCGTGTTACTATAGCGGAGTAAAAAAGTACCAAGCTCAAAACGCGCTAGAATACCAGGCGGGCGTAACTCCGGCATTTGCAGAACAACGCTGCAGCGCT